TACAGACTGGATCTAGGAATCCATAGCCCCCAAAACCCCAGAGAGGATACCCTACTGAACCTGAAGACATGCTAGTCACCAGAACCCTTGGCCATTTAGGCCAGGAGACTTGAGAGAAAAAGAAAAACCAAGGAACGAAACACCCATCCAACAAAGACAAATGCAGAAATCAACATCTAGACCTAAAATCACCCCAAATCCAGATGCCTAAACACCAGTGTAAGAACACAGTCAATGGGGCTGGAGAGGTGGCTCAGCGGTTAAGAGCACTGGCTGCTCTTCCAGGATACCCAGGTTCAATGTCCAGCACCTACATGGCAGTTCACAACTGTCTGTGACTCCAGTCTGAGAGGATTCCAGAAGATCTGACACCCTCAAACAGACACACATGCAGGCAAAACACCAATGCACATAAAATTAGAGAGAGGGGAGGCTAACAGATTGGATACCAAAACAGGATTAAACATTCTGCTGCATACAAGAAACACACTTCAAGAAGATAAATATTGCCTCAAAGTAAAGGGTTGGAAAAAGATTTTCCAATCAAATAGACCTAAGAAACAAGCTGATACAGCTATCCTAATATCGAACAAAACAGAATTCCAATCAAAACTAACCAAAAGAGATGGAGAAGGGCATTTCATATTCACCAAAGGAAAAATACATCAAGATGATGTCTCAGTTCTGAACATCTGTGCCCCAAACATAAGGACACCCACATTTGTAAAAGAAACATTATTAAAGCTTAAATCACACATAGAAACCCACACAATAATAAGAGAGACTTCAACACCCCACTCTCACCAAATGAACAGGTCATTCAGACAGAAACTAAACAGAAAAATAATGGAACTAACAGACTATGAATCAAATGGACCTAACAGATATCTACAGAACATTTCACCGAAACACAAAAAAATATAGCTTCTTCTCAGCACCTCACAGGATTTTCTCCAAAACTGACCACATACTCAGCTACAAAGCAAGTCTCAACAGATAAAATAAAAAATAAAAAATAAAAAAAAAAACTTGAAATAACCCCCTGTATCTTGCCAAACTACTGTGAATTGAGGCTGGATTTCAGCAACAACAAAAAGCCTACAAACTCATGGAAACTGAACAGCTCTCTGCTGAGTTACCGCTGGGTCAAGGAAGAAATAAAAGAAAGATGTTAAAGACTTTCTAGAATTCAATGAAAATGAATGCACAACATGGCCACACTTATGGGATACTATGAAAGCTGTGCTAAGAGGAAAGTTTGTAGCATTAAGTGTCTACATAAAGAATTTGGAGAAATCTCACACTAGCAACTTAACAGCAAACCTGAAAGCTCTAGAACAAGAAGAAGCAAACTCACCCAGGAGGAGTAGAGGACAGGAAATAATCAAACTGAGGACTGAAATCAATAAAATAGAAACAAAGAGAATAATACAAAGAATCAATGAAACAAAGAGTTGGCTCTTTGAGAAAATCAAAAAGGTAGACAAACCCTTACCCAGAGAGAAAATCCAAATCAACAAAATCAGAAACAAAAGGGGGACATAACAGACTCCAAGGAAATACAGATAATCATTAGTCATACTTCAAAAAAAATGTACTCCAAATCAAATGTCCAAATCTAAAAGAAATGGACAAATTTCTTGATAGATACCACTTACCTAAGTTAACTCAAGATCATATAAGCAATTTAAAATAGACCAACAACCCCTAAGGATATAGAAGCAGTCATTAAAATTCTCCCAACCAAGAAACCCCCAGGGCCAGATGGTTTAGTGCAGAATTCTACTAGACTTTCAAAGAAGAGCTAATAACAATATTCTTCAAATTATTCCACAACATAGAAACAGAAGGAACATTGCCAATTTCTTTCTATGAGGCCATTAGTCATCCTGACACCCAAAACCACACAAAGACCCAACAAAGAAAGAGAATCACAGACCAATTTCACTCATGAACATAGATGCAAAAATACTAAATAAAATACTGGCAAACCGAATCCAAGAACACATCAAAAAGATCATCCACCATGATCAAAAAGATTATCCACCATGACCAAATAGGCTTCATCCCAGAGATGCAAAAATGATCATCTCATTAGATGCTGAAAAAGCCTTTGACAAAATCCAACACCCCTTCATGATAAATGTCTTGGAGAGATCAGGGATACAAGGGACATACCTAAACATAATAAAAGTAATAAAAGCAAGCCAACTGCCAACATCAAATTAAATGGAGAGAAACTCAAAGCACTTCCACTAAAATCAGGAACAAGACAAGGCCACTCTCTCCATACCTATTCTAGCTAGAGAAATAAGACAACTAAAGGAAATCAAGGAGATACAAATTGGAAAGGACGACGTCAAAGTATCATTATTCGAAGATGATATGATGGTACCCATGAGCGACCTCAAAAGCTCTACTAGGGAACTCCTACAGCTGATAAACTCCTTTAGTGCAGTGACTAGATACAAGATTAACTTAAAAAAATCATTAGCCCTCCTATATACAAATGATAAATAGACTGAGAAAGAAATCAGAGAATCAACACCCTTTACATTAGCCTCAAATAATACAAATTATCTCGGTATAACTCTAACAAAGCAAGTGAAAAATCTGTATGACAAGAACTTCAAGTCTTTGAAGAAAGAAATTGAAGAAGATATCAGAAGATCAAAGGTCCCATGCTCATGGATTGGTAGGATTAACAGTAAAAATGGACATTCTACCAACAGCAATTTACAGATTCAATGCAATCCCCATGAAAATCTTAACACAATTCTTCACAGACTTTGAAAGAACAATATTCAACTTTGTATGGAAAAACAAAAAATCCAGGATAGCTAAAACAATCCTGTAGAATAAGAGAACTTACAGACGCATCGCCATTCTTGACTTCAAGCTCTACTATAGAGCTATAATAATAAAAACAGCTTGGTATTGGCATAAAAACAGACAGATGGATGAATGGAATTAAATCAAATACGCAGTTGTAAATCCACACACCTATGGACACCTGATTTTCAACAAGGAAGCCAAAATTATACAATGGAAAAAGAAAACATCTTCAACACATAGTGCTGGTCTAACTGGATGTCAACATGTAGAAGATTGCAAATAGATCCATATCTATCGCCATGCACAAAACTCAAGTCCAAGTGGATCAAAGACCTCAACATAAATCCAGATACACCGAACCTGATAGAAGAGAAAGTGGGAAATAATCTCAAACCCATTGGCACAGGAGACAACTTCCTAAATAGAAGACCAATAATAGAGGCACTAAGATCAGCAATTAATAAGTGGGACCTCAAGAAATTGAAAGGTTTCTGAAAGGCAAAGGACACTGTCAAGACAAAATGGCAGCCTGAAGAATGGGAAAAAAAATCTTCACCAACCCCATATCAGACAGAGGGCTGATTTCCAAAATATATAAAGAACTCAAAAAAAAGTGGGGTACATATCTAAACAGAGGATTCTCAACAAAAGAATCTCAAATGGCAGAGAAACACTTAAGGAGATGTTCAACATCCTTAACCATCAGGGAAATGCAAATAAAAAGCACACTGAGATTTCATCTTACACCTGTCAGAATGGCTAAGATTAAACACACACACACACACACACACACACACACACA